AAACCAATTGTAGAACGGAACCAACAAAGCATGTAGGTATATAAATCTGCGCAGTCGTCTTTCTGATTCTGATTATAATATTAACGGCACAAGCGCCGCTGTATCTGTATTATTTTAAAATTCGAAAAACACTCGACAACACTAGCGAACTTTACGGAGAAGATTTCTGCCACCAGTTTAACTGTTTCCGTTTTACCCAATTTTTTGAAAACCACGAAATATTTCTTGTTTCTTTTCCTTTAAAATGAGCTTTCTCGTGATTACTTTTATGGAAATTGTTTCCATGCTGTATTTAAGGATTTTCTTGAAACGAAGCGTGTTGAAATTAGAAAAACTTCGTTTTTTTTCCACACAATTCAGATTTGACATTTGAATTAGAAAATTAGACAGTTGATGCCAATCTTAAATTTCTAGTGATCTTAAGATTGCAACTTAACCACAGAAAAGTTTCTGTCAGTTACTTCTACCGAACGTGAATGCTTATTATGTTGGTGTTTTTTAAATATTTCATTTGTAAAATTTTGATTGACGTCATTCAGAACCAGTGACAACTAGTAAGGAAAGTACCTACGTTGATCCTAAAAACGTACGTGTTTATTTTGGAATCTAGCAATAACTGATAGATGTATGTTGGGTTGCATTGAAAATTAGGCAGGGTCACGTTATTATAATACTCACTCTGTATATGTGTGCATATTTACATGTTTTTTCTACCTATAATTCCGAGCTTTAGTTATCATTTTACAATTAAAGATTTTCATATTTACCGATTGCAGCAAATTTTAGCGCTTTTATTATGAAGGAAAATATACACGTCAACTTTATTAACGGTTTTTGATTTTGCACTAATGGCCTATAACTTTAGGCTATCAACAACCCAGTCAGTATTCTAATTTACGCATTTGATAAGCATCGGTACACTCCATTAATTTCAGTGTAGTGAAAATTTTATTTTACATTCTTTGCCTAATAAATTTTCACGCAGTAAACTCGTGATACGATAAAACTGACTTTAAATTTTAAGTTAAAGGAACAAATTTGGATAAATACTTCGATCGTCGTCACTTGAACATTATTATCAAATCAATTAGTCATATCCTCAAGTCATCAAATTGCGCCACAAATAATTAACGTTATCACAAAAGTCAGTTAATTGATCATGTTAAAGCTTAAAAGCACCCTTCACCCACTTTATTGTAAGACGAAAAAATACCTACGTATTCGGTGAAAACTACTGATAACTTTCACTAATATCGTTTGATAAAAGTTAACGTCATCTTTGTAGGACAGATGTAGTTTCTTTTCATGAATAAAATATTTTTTGTTCGGGCTTTACCCAAGAACTGAGTCTCCTTGTAAACGGATTTTTACATTGCTGGCTAATTCTAGAATCATTAAACCATGCGTGTATGCATAGAGTGAGGCTAGGTATTTCCAGGCTACTTTTTATTACCTACTACGTTACGTAAGTGTCTCTTTCTCTTCATGAAATATCTTTAGTTCGCTTGCAGCTATAACAATTATTTATATTAATTTTTGGATAACATAAACTTGATTAGCACTGCTTTCAAATTCATAAACATCTACAACGTGTATAATTACAACTCGAAATTTGCATACTATGTTTATAGTACAACCCAATCATATTTCATATGCAAAAATATATAAAAGACGACTGCAATACAATTAACCATTTACCGGTTTTGATAAAAATCCAAGTAGTTTAATCATATTTTGTGCAAACATATTCACTTGTTTGACATTGCGTCTCATTATTTAAACTGAGTCTAAATTAGTGTCATGTTTCTTGATATAAACATAAGTGAAAAGTGTTTTCTGTTCTACGATTTTCGTATATTTAATTCTTGATTCAAAAAAAGTATAACAAAATTTAATTCTGGATGGTGGTGAATTAAAGTTTTTATTTCCATGAAACTGGTTAAAACCAGTTAAAAGCAAATAATTAAAGAAACTTTTAGTCAACCTATGTGAAAAACTGACTTGAAAACATAGTGCAATAAATAACAGATCTGTTGGATTTCTATTTTGTGAATGTTATAGTGTTGTAAAAACCCAATCTAATATCATGCGTAAAAAAGAACGCGCCTCCCACCTGAAGTACGGGAGTGAAATATAGATTCTTGGAAAAACTATAAAATTAAATTGTACGAATTTTATTTTTTATAATAACCCTATAAGTTAAATTAAGGATGTAAAGAAATTGTTAAGGGACCTATTTTTTCGTACTCTAGGAGTCATGAAACGTCAAAAAAACATACATACTGCATTTCTAATGCATAATTATCACAAATTTTAAACATAAAATTAATAAAAATTAAACTAATCAGACGAAATTCCCATGAAAATATTTAAATGTTAATCTTAACCTAAAGACATGATATTCAAAGAGCAAAATTTCCAACCGAGACAACCAAATCTGATTCCATTTTTTCGATACCATAGTATATTTAAATTAAACGCATTGTTGAACGGTTTTCTTAATCTATGATGATCTTAGAAATTATAAAAATGTAAAACACTGGTTAAATAGTGTAAAAAATTCCGGTATATGTTCCAAAAAAAAATAAGGAATTTTGTGGCGTGTTATATGTTAGAAATAAATTGTTTTTCTTATCGTACATTTCCACATATCTAAGAAATATTACAAATAAGTACAGGTAAGAAGTACATAAGTATATCTACCAGTTCGTCATATACATTACACGTGTAACACAAAATAAATAAATTAATTTATTGATAAATTTTTTTGAGCCACCTATTTAAGGGAATTTAAAAAATATAAATGCAATGATAAATCACATGTAAAAACTCATCATATTTTGCACATTTTGGGTACAATTTCTTCGCCAAAATTTTGAGGTGACGTCATCAATTTTTTAAGGGGGATGAGCAAATACATTTCGATCAAAAATTTACGATATTTATGATAACTTTAAAACACCTCTAAGATTTCAAAGCATTCGGTTTTGCAGTTTTTGATTAAATCAATAAAATTGAATCAAGAACGGCTCAGTCAATTTTTCCCAAAATTTCAGGGGGGGGGGAATATAATACGTTATTATTAGTATTACTGCACCAACCTAAGTTGAAATACGTGTTTTTGCAAAAATGATGATTGACGTCATCACAAAATTTTATAAAGTAAAAAATTATTCGAAACGTACGCATAGCATGCTTATTCTTTACATTTACTTTAGAATTACATATATACATTTATGTTTATTTCAACTTATAAGGTTCTCATAAAAAATATGGTCTGGAAAATCAAATTTTATAATTTTTCGAAAATACTGGATATGTTTCATTGTACTTCAGGAGCGAGAAAAGTCCTATAACTTTCGACCAATTTTTTTTCATAGTTTTCACAGAATGTGCTACTGTATTTCGTACGTCTAATTTTTAATATAACAGGAAATAAGATTCACGCATAAACGATGTTTGTAACTTATAAAGACGTTTTAAATGAATTTTTATAAAAATTTCTAAACTTTATAAGATTTAAAAAAAATGCTTTGTACCGCATATGGACTATGTTCATTTGAGTTAATAATAAACAAATTGTTGAACATTCCTTTTTTCATTGTATAGGTAAATTTTACGTAACAGAGGAACAACGAAAGAAATTTTTGTGTTTTGTAGGTAATATTATTCAAATAAATTATAATTTTACAAAATTCCTTTTTTTTGTACCTTGTCAATTTAGAAAATATCAAATGTGACAAAAAATTAAGTCCAATGGTATACATAATACCTAAGAATTTTTAGACAAAACATGAATCAGAAAAGTGTCTGTGATAAAAATGAACTTTACATTGTCATAGTGTTTATGCAATAAAGTGAATTAATCCTTTCAGACGTAGGTACTTATTTAATCTCATTTCTTTACAAAACAAACTGAAATATACATTGTCTCAGTGTCGAATTGTACCGACGGGACACTGGGAAATTTCCCGGTGGGTCTCGAAACAGTCTACTTCTTTTTTTTAACAATTATTTACATTTTTCACATTTGCAGAATGTTACAATTACAACTGCAATAAATATCCCTAAAAATATAATATACACATAAAAAACAATATATGTAAATATTAAATAAGAGCATATTTTTACTTTCAGATTTCAGTCTGTCTGTCTGTCTGTCTGCCGTCTGTCCAGATTTTTATTAGACAGATTTGTATGTGTATATCTTACATTTTTGGCGAATTTCTTCAAATTTATTACTGCTTTTGAGGCATTTAACAAAAAATATTTACTCTAAACCAAATATAACTATATACGCAACATAAATAAAATAAATATTTATATGCGGGAACTTCTTTTGCCTATAAAATACTACTTCTATTAAAAACATTTTTTTTTTATTTTTTAAAACAGAACATCGTTGAAATATTTGCCGGTGAAAATTATTGCTTGATTATTTAGTTCGATAAATAGGTATGTATACCTACCTACTCTTCTCGTAATCTGTAGATAAAATATGTCAAGTTGACTTTTCGTCATCCCCAGTTTTTGCACATTATATTTTCCGATGTAGGATTGCATCATCCAGAAAAATACTTTTATATGCTTTATCAACCACCACTATGCTAATTAACATTTTTGACGGAATTTTAAAGTTTTTATGCAACGATAAGATTAAATAAAAAATATTCCGAGTACATTTTAAACGCGCATTACATACTTTTATTACAACTTTAATTTTGAATCTACATTGATTCCCATAAATAATATTATTATTTATTAGATATATTTTTACAGCGGGTTTTTCAGATTTGTTAACTCACTTTTTAGTCGTACACTAATTTAAATATTTATAACATTTATTTTAAAATATTCCTCGCTTTATATTTTTTATTTAATGATAAACGCAAGTGTAGTTGAACAAAACGTTATAAACATCAAATAACAAAAACTCCTTGAAAAAAATCAATGCCCTTTTTAAACTTTTTTTAAATAACATAAAAAATCCAAAGACTCACCTTATTTTTTCAAAACTAAATACGACTGAGTTGATAAAATTGTTTTGATTTAAACTATAACATAAAAAAATAATGGTGACACACTAATTATTCCACATATTTGGCACCAATCGCACAGCAAAATTATAACTTTTAACCGCGACGTCCACCTTGTAATAACAAATAGCAAGGCAACAGTAACAGGTAGAACTCAATTCAGCAAACTGACTGAATGTAATCATTGTTAATCACATTTTGCGTCCCCCCTTTTAACATTGAAACACAAAGTGAGCAGAAAATCAGCAACCAAAACATCGATCTCAATTTTTTTTGTTACTCTACAACTATTTTAAAAGCTGTCGTAACAATAAGCGTACAAACAAAACCTGATTTGACCGGTTTCGTCAGTTTGAAGACCTCTTCCAACCCACCGTTGTTTACTCTGGTGAAATTTTCGCACAAATAAAAAAGAAAGTCAACGTGGGTATTCCCCAGCTGAATTTGAATTTTTCCCGCGTTGACGTCACGCATAGCACAGGCCTGCCATTAGTGTCAAAACGAAAATCACCAATAGTTCTTCTGGTCTGTGTTTTGGCAAAGCACGTAAGTGGAATTTCAATATTTTGAATTTATTTAAGCCATCCGCTAGAATTTTAATCAAAATTGCGTAAAATAATTTTCTATATTGTATTGTGGAATGTTTGATGCTTGAATTTTGCAAGTTTTGAGTCAATTTGTAATTTTTACGGATTTTTGAACGTTTGAGGTTATGTTGTGATTTTATTTTAAACCATAAGTTTGTCTAAACTTTATAAATAATGCTTTTACAGTTAAATGTATAGTGTCCTGTGCTAACGTCGCGAGTTTGAGTAGTTTTTTACTGAAAAATTTCGCTAGTTTTTAAGTTTTATTTTTGTTCTAGAGCAAAATGGGCAAAATTATGAAACAAGGTAAAGTCGTGTTGGTTCTTGCGGGCCGATACGCAGGGCGCAAAGCTATCGTAATCAAAAATAACGACGATGGCACTTCTGATAAGCAGTATGGACATGCCATCGTAGCTGGGATCGATAGGTATCCCAGAAAAGTTAACAAACGCATGGGAAAAGGAAAGATTCACAAGAGGTCCAAGATTAAGCCATTCGTAAAGGTAATTAGTTGGTAATTTTAGGTTGCTTTTTCTTATATTTGTCGTGGTTGTAGATTTTGAACTATAACCATTTGATGCCCACTCGTTATTCCGTGGACTTAACCAGCGACGTTAAAATCACCCCCAAGGATTTGAAAGATCCCATGAAGAGGAAGAAGGTTAGGTTCCAAACTCGTGTCAAGTTTGAAGAAAGATACAAGTCAGGGAAGAACAAGTGGTTCTTCCAAAAATTAAGGTTCTAATTATATTTTTATTTTGAATAAATTCATCTTAAAAACAAAAATTGGTGTATGTCAGTCTGTTTATTAGATATGTTTGTACATACACAAAATGCCTTAAATAACAAGAAGGTAACAATTTTAGGTTAGAAAATCCTACATTAAAAAACAATTTGATCAAATAATTTCTGCTTACAAAAAGAATCACAGCATTTAAACAGTTCACTCTGTATCTTAGCGGAATGTATCTGCTGTGAACCAATTTCAGATCGTTTAAACAAAAACAAACCGTCTAAGCAATTTTTTATTTGAGAATTATCACAAACAGCAAATGCAATTTGGCAAAAATACTTAACTTAAATCCTTCATCTCCAAAGACACAGCCTTCATTACAAATAAAACTACATTCGAACAAAAGAGATTCTAACCTGTTTGCTTGGAGACTGGATTAACATAAAAATTAGGGGAAACTGTCTGTAGCACAGATAAGTTGACTCCAACGATCTGAAAAACTAAAGAAACAACTTATGGGTCCTCTTGATCGGGCACTTTTGGTGAATCTCTGTCTTTGTCTTCTTCCTTGTCCTGATTGGATAGTTCCAAGCTTCTCTGCAGGGTCTCGAAAGCCGAATGACAACTTGGTTTGAGCGTGAATAGAGTGTTTGGATGCGAGGAAACGACTTCTCGAGGTATTGGTCTTAGGATAGGTACAGATTTTGATAGCACGCGTTCGCAGCCGTCTGGGGGTGCTCGGGATGAAAATCGATTGATGTGGGGGGATGAACCGGTCACCATTCGATCTTGGTCTGGACTTGAACCCTGGCTGTCTTCTATAAGGAAATAACATAATTAGATGAAGCTACACAAAGATGATCGGGTTTTATCTTCTACCAAGAAAGTCATTTTTTACATAATTTTTGCTTTGTTAACGTTCTGTTAATCTGAGAGCGCGTGTGACTTGAAAATTATGAAATAAAACGCGACATAACAAGTATTCGCACAAAATAAGTTAACATTAACAAGAATATTAGGAATATATTTATATACGGATGATACGTCCACATTTTCTCACAACTATGTACATCAAGACCTTAATGAAATTCCCACTCTGGGTGACATTAAACCAAAATTAGCTCATCAAATATTCTTTACACTTTTAGATCTCAAAAATGGATTTTGGCATGTGGGATTGACAGAAGAATCTTCTAAATTATGTACGTTTAGTACACCCTTTTGACTGTATCGTTTCAATCGTATGCCGTTTGGTATAAAATCAGCTCCTGAAATTTTTCAAAAGTTAAATAGCAAATATTTTTTTGGTATTGATGGAATAATAATTTATATGGATGCTATTTTAATATATTAGGATACGAAAGAAGAACACGGTAGGATTTTAAAACAGGTAATAGATAGAGCTAGTGTACCTAAATAATATAATGATAAAAGGTCAGTGGCGTTACTAGGAAAATTTTAAAATGGGGCTACTATTAAATTAGTGGTATTAGGCTTATTTACATAATATAATAAACAAAAGATCGCAGATAATAATTTTTTATCTCGAAATTTGTCAGTTAAATAGTTTTAATGTAAACTCGAGAAATGTTGGACAACGAAACTGTTACTCTTTTTTTTCAAATTTTTAATTCGCATTTTCAACCAAATCCCTCATTGCATGGCTTTTACTGGACCACTTTATTCTTTGTTTTTTCTTATTTGTTCTTTAGCTTTTCTGGTATAGGTTTTCAGACGGTAAACTATCATTCTTGCAGTAAATTTTGTTTTGCTGTTATTATTATTATTATTGATAAACCCTTCCACAGGCTATAGCCCATTTACGGAAGACATACTAACAAAAAAAGAACAAGTAGAAGAAGACAAGCATATAGACTGTTTATAGTAAAGCATAATAGTTTTTTATCTCTCTGATTGTGCAGCAGAATATGTCAAGATGACTTTCAACGTTAGCGTAGCTGTGTAGCATCTGAAATAATGGTGAAGATTTCATTATATTAGTCTTAGGAAAGGGTGCCTTTATTAAAGAGTTAAAACTTAGGCTAGTTGTCGGTGCTCTAAAATATAAAAGTTTTAATATATCTTCACAGTTTACTATTGAATTCAAAATGTTTCTTAGCATAATAATAAAGGCAACAGTCCTACGATAAGAAAGACTGCAAGTTGAAGCGTCTGATGAGTATATCATTTGGAATTCCTCTAAGTGGGTAAGTACCATCCTCAAGAAAACCCAAAAATTTCAGAAACCTACGTTGGATTTTCTCTAAAACAGAAATGTGAACTTGATATATGGGACTAAATATAATGGAAGAATACTCAAGTCGAGATCGGACATACGCAAAATAAAGTGGTTTTAAGATATCTTTACTCTGAAAGGCACCTGAGTTTCGGATGACGAGACCAAGTGACTTGTAAGCAGATGACGCGATTTTTTCAATATGTTTATCAAATTTTAGCTTTGTATCATAAGTGACACCCAGATCATAAATATAGTCAGACCTTTCTAGTATTGAATTATCAAGTGCATAGTCATAAATTATTGGATCAAGTTTTCTATAGAAAGATTTTACAAAGCATTTGTCCTTGTTTAGCAAAAGCTGATTGTTAATTGACCAATTCCACAATTTACTGAGATTTTCCTGAAGATGTAAGCAGTCCTCAACTGTTTTAATTTCACAGAAAATTTTTAAATCATCGGCATACAGTAAATGCCTTACATCAAGTTCGTCAACGACATTATTTATATATATATTAAAGAGCAGAGGACCCAGCACAGAACCCTGTGGTACGCCTGACGGTTGCAAAAATTTGTTGGAACGGTATCCACGATAGCAAACATATTGATGTCTTTGATCCAAATAGGATGTAAGAAGGTTAAGTACTTAAGTTGAAAAACCAAATATTTGTAACTTATGCAACAAGATTTTGTGATCAATGCGATCAAACGCCTTAGAAAAATCAGTGTATATACAGTCAACTTGACTTCGAGCATCTAGACGTTCTGAACTAAACTGAGTTTTTAAGAATAAATTAGTGACTGTGGATTTTCCCTTAACAAACCCATGTTGAGATGGAGATAGGTAAGTGGAGACGTGATTAGAGATACGAGAATCAAGTACGATTTCGAATATTTTTGCAAAATTATTTATAATTGTAATCGGACGGTAATTAGCAATGTTGCTTCTACTATTTTTCTTGTGGACTGGTGCGACCCCAGATACTTTCCACTTCATTAGGAAATAAGATTTTTTTATTATTAAATTGAAAATAATGTTTAATGGCTTACAGAAAATGGACGCACAATCTCTAATAAGAAATGACGGTATACAATCTGGACCAGCTGTCAACGTAGGTTTGAGTTGTTTAATCGCATTACGAATTTCATCTTCATCAATCTCTGTCAAATATATAATATTTTTATATAAACTGTTCTCACGCATTGAAGTACTGGAAACCGAAAATCTATTAAATGATTTACCAAAGAAATCTGCAAAAGCATCTACTATATTTTGTGGTGATGTTAGCTCCATGTCATCATATTGCATTATGTTTGGTATACCAAACTTTTTTGTTTTATGTTTAACAAACGTCCAGAACTGTTTAGGGTTTACTTTGATCTCATCAGTAACACGTTTTAAATATCTGTCATAAGCATCTCTAATTAGTTTTTTTATTTCTCTTCGGTACAATTTGAATGTTTCTAGAGATAGAAGCGACTTATCTTTTTTGTATTTCAGCCATGCTTTATGCTTTTGTTTGAGACTTTTAATAATTTCCTTGTAGGTACCGAGAGGCTGCCTTTTCGTTGGCACAAAAGAATTAAAAATATTTAAGAGTTTGTCGTAAAATAGCTCAATAGCCCCATCGACATCTTTTGCAGAATCTAAAAACGAAAAATCAACTTCGGATAAGTGATAGTATAGGGATGGAAAGTCTGCTTTTTTTAAATTAAATTCACCATGAGTTTTGATTGGAATACAAGTTGTTTTCTCCTTCAAGAGACATACACTGACTTCCAAGGCAGGATGATGCGCATCCTCTAGGGTTAACACTTCCTCTGCATGAATTACGTGACACTCTGTATTGCTAAATACAAGATCTAAAAGACGTTCATTAAAATTGAGAACAAAATTTTTTTGGGAAAAACCAAGAAACTTGCTGAAATTGTCACAGTCATAGTAGATGTTGGATGATATAACATCGGACGAATAACAGCTAATATACTCAGGGATATTGAAATCACCTAACACGATGATATTTGACTTGTAAAGAACATTTACAGACATTAAGGACTCAAAAAGAATTGAATAATCATCAACTCCACAAGAAGGTGGGACGTATAGAACAATAATATGTAGACATTGATGAAGATCTTCTGCTTTCATTTTAACCCACATGATGTCAGTGTGTTTTAATTCAGCAAATCTATAGTAAAACTGTTCAAACTCTAACACTATGACTTTTATCTCCTTCCTAGCTGCAATTAAAACACCACCACCTCTACGCATTGCTGTTGTAGAAAAATCGCGATCTTTTCTCGATACATTAAAGAGTTTTACATCAAAATATTCACCATCAAAAGAGCTTGAATTTAACCAGGTTTCAGTTAATATTATTAAGTCATACTGGGACATCAAAGTAGAGTTATGAAGAATTTCAGAGGTTTTGGTGTTAACACCTCTTACATTTTGGTAATAAATATTTAAATATTTACTGGTATTCACTATACGCTTAGGACATTTAGAAACTGGAGATGAGGTCCTTAATTGCTATTTAATTGAAAGAATGCTAGTTTTAAATTCCGTTTTCGCTTTATGGTAAGCGTGACACTTGTTAAAGTCCCAAACTGCATGATGTATCGATAGATTGCTACTATGTTTAGTGTTCGGTAATGTGCAATTAACGCATTGTAAGGTTTCGGATTTGCAATTTTCAACATCATGGGAGCCAGAACATCTAGGACATCTAGGTAGCTTTTGAGAGCATTGCTTCTGATAATGGTGATAACCACAACACTGGTAGCATATTTTAATATCTATTGCATCGTATCCAAGACAGTCATCACACCCAACGATTAGGTAAACTTTTTTAATCATGTTATCATAAGTAGCCGGATTTACTTCTACGATAGCTTGAAACCTTTTTTGTCTTTTCGTAGTGGTACTATTTTATCAATTACTATACAGTACGGTTCACCAATAAAGAGATATCGGTTTTGATGGATTACATAATCAGAGAGATTTTCTGTAGTAATTTCTTCATCAGTTATACCAACAATTCTAATACGAGGATTGATAACAGGTAGTTGTTTAATGGTGTATTTTTCACCCAAATTATTATCATTGGCAAGTTTGGAAATTTTTTCTGTATCTTCAGATTTATCGCATCGAACAATTAAACTTCCATTTTTTGTATTTTTTATTTTAAACACCCGATTTTACTGGATCAACGTTACGTAAGATATCAGATTTGGTTGCCGATACACTTTGAGATTGATCCTTTGGTTGAAAAATAATTGCTGATGTTTGTTTAAGGGCCTTAGCACAAGTGGTTTCATCATCAGTTTTCTCAGGTTTCGAGATTGAAAGCTTTAATTCATTAATTTGTGCTTGAAAAGCAGATGTTAATTTATTTTTCAAATTTTCAAAACCTTCTATCATTTCTGTAACTTGTTTCCCATTGTTTTTATTAAGCTCAGCAATCTGAACATTGATGGAACTTACATTTTTTTCTATGTTACTTAAATACGATTTTTCAGTCATTTGACAATTAATTTTGCAAACATGACAGATGAAGAACAAGTTTTTGCATTTTTCTA